CTGACATCCAACTGCTTAGACAAAGATCCTGAAGTGAAAGCTCATCCAGCTCAATGCATGAGCTCGAGTATTCAAGTTACAGATGATGACGCCATCGTAAAACTGATAGAAAGGTATTCGTCATGGAATAGGCTAAAGCGAGCCGTTGCGTGGTTGCTGAAGTTTAAGTTATGGCTTCAAACCAAGAAAACTTGCCAGTCGAAATCACTGACAGTAAACGATCTTAACCAAGCTGAAACTACAATAATAAAGCACATCCAAAGGCAAGCGTATCCGGAAGTCATTAAAGTGTTCAACGGTTCTGATCACCGTCAAGTCAAGGCGAAGCTRAAAGGATTACCGTCATCACTTCATGGATTGAGTCCCATAATCGATGAACAAGGAGTGTTGAGAGTGGGAGGAAGACTAGAAAACTCATCTGTCAGACATCAGATTATCCTGCCAAGATGTCATCGCGTAACGGATCTCATAATCCAGGCCTGTCATGAAGATTGTGGACATCTCGGGGAATCGTACGTATTGTCGCATCTGCGCCAAAGGTATTGGGTAATTAAAGGAAAGTCAGCAGTTCGCAGAGTTATCGGAAAGTGTTTCCTTTGTAAAAGGATGAACAGTTTGCCTATGACGCAAATGATGGGAGAACTACCAAAAGAAAGAGTCAAGCCAGATGATCCTCCATTTACGTCAGTTGGTGTTGATTTCTTYGGCCCAATTTACGTGCGTCAACGACGATCACATGTCAAACGATACGGATGTATTTTTACCTGCCTGGCAACAAGAGCAACCCACATCGAAGTAGTCGAATCATTGGATACTGATTCGTTTATAAATGCCTACCGTAGATTTGCCAATACCAGAGGAAACCCTTCCGTGGTGTACAGTGATAACGGTACTAATTTGCGGGCTGGAGAGAGGGAGATACACAAAGCAATCCAAGAATGGAACCAAGACAAGATTAACCAGACTTTGAGCCAGAAAAACGTACAATGGTATTTCAATCCTCCAAAAGCCTCACACATGGGTGGTGTCTGGGAGCGCGTAATCAGGTCAATCCGAAAGATAATGAGAGCGATACTTGGAAGTAAGGTTGTTACTGATGAAGTCTTACGAACAACTATGTCCGAAGTGCAAGCAATTCTCAACAGTCGACCACTAACACCACTCAGCAACGATGTAAAGGACATGGAAGTGCTTACCCCTAACCATCTGTTGCTTTTACGAAGTAATGCAAATCTGCCTCTAGGGCTTCATAGCGAGGAGCATGGCTACTGTCGACGCAGGTGGAAACAGGTACAGCATCTAGCGAACGTATTTTGGCAGCGATGGCTGAAAGAATATCTTCCAATCATGCAAGTACGACAGAAATGGCTCAGGCCCCAGCGCAACCTACAAGATGGAGATTTGGTGCTAATAGCAGACGAGAATACCCCGCGTGGTAAATGGCCAATTGGCAAGGTTACAAAGGTGAACAAAGGAAGAGATGGTTTGGTACGTTCAGCCTGTCTCTCCACAAGTTCCGGATCTATGGTCACAAGACCTATCACAAAGCTCTGTTTTCTTGAACACCAAGAACAATGATTTATAAATTAATTAAGTGATAAGTGTTATAGGTTTCGTGTCTTATAAAATATGAACAATTATAATTGGTCATGGGGCGGGTATGTAGACACGAG